TATATATATATATATATATATATATATATATATATATAACAGACACGCTTTATAGCTTTAAATTCAGTCTTGTTTGACACGTTGATTTATCTCTTAGTATGCAGAAATGAATGTGGTAACCACAACTATAAAGATGTCTCCTTATTGATGCTTGTCAGAAACAAGGACGATTTGAATAATTGACTTTACATGTGTTGTTGCAAAATTCCGTTTAGTGTATGTACTTTATGTTCTAATAAAATGACAGTTTTTGTTATCGGTGAAAATCATCAATAGTGTTCTGAAAAACAACAATTTTTCACACACAGAAATAACGTTTAGTTAAGCATCTTGCAGACAGGAGGAATATTTTATATTTTTGTTATGGTACATTTTCCTAGTTTTGAAATATAATGTAGGTATTTCAGTTTTCGTATGTTGAGTTGTATTGACGTGAACAATATCATATTTCCTCCTGTCACTTCAGGTTGAAATGAACCTTCTATTTTAAAAACAAATTTTCCAGTGTAAAAAAAAAAAAATGTTTACATTTTTATAACTTTGAAGTTATATCCTTAGGTCAGGCCTCGATAAATCCCGAGCGCCATGGCGACTAACAAAATTCATCTTTGAGAGTATTATTTTCTCCCATTTTATTCGTGTGGGTAGCTGTACCAAATATAACTCGAATCTAGAACGGTTCTGGACTCTTGGAAGTCTGGAACTGATTTCTATCCAACATGTTTAGTCTTATAAATTAAAGCTATTTATAGGTCCACCGTAAAGATTTATAGAGATGAAAATCGAGAGGTCAAAGGTCATGGTAACTTAATGCCATGTCACTTAGTCCATCCTTGACCTTTTTTTTTTTTTCGACTTTTATACCATGCGTTTTTGTTAGTTTTATGTCCAAGAAAATAAAATCATTGTAAAACACAACGTTGAAATGGAAACAAATTTATCTAGCGATATTTCGAGTAACTTCTCTTCCTTAGGCTTAATATGAATAACAACAATAACAAAAAGTGTTACGTCGGTATATTTTAAAATTCTCTTCATGGTATTCCATGCTTATTTTAAAAGTGAATAACATGTTTTTTGGTGGAATATTTTCACTTTATCATAAGGCAACAACGTGTAGTTACAAACTAAATTGTAACTTTGGCCTAAATTACGTAAACAGTCAACTTTGTTTATGTTACAGGATGTTTATAGGCTTTAGCAAATCCTAACCATACAATGTATTGTTACGACAGCGGGGGTCACGTGACGCTAGTAACACGTCATATTCTCGAAGGTTCCTGAAGCCTTGAGTGTTTACTAGATGTACGGTATTCTTGTATATAAGACTGCCAAGAAGTGACGGCAACAATGTAATTGAATTGCAGACAGAGATAAAGACTGACAGTTGGGTCGAGCGCGTGAGTCGTTCGTTGTGAATTATAGCGTTTGTTTAACTTGTAGCGTGACCGTGGAATTTAAGTGAATTCCAAAGTTGTATTGAGAAAGAATAAACTATTTTTATTTAGGAAAGGACTTGTGTCGCTAAAGTTTCATCGGAAAGAAATTATACGGGAAGTTAACTAACGACCAGAGACGTAACAGTATATTCCTGAGGTTACCTCCTTGATAGTGGCGTTATTTCACGTTTTTTTAAATTTATCTGCTTTTCTGTGAAGTTTTGCTAAGTTTTTAGTGTATTTTTCGTTTCGAAACTAATATCGGGAATTGTTTGTAAGAGATGCAAATATTGTGATTGGACAATATAAGTTGTTTTTACTCATCTCCAGTAACACTGGTTTACATCAAGGAGTGGCAGCAAGGCATTCGTACATTTACTAATCACTACGATTTCATTTTATTACGAGTTACAGCTTTCACAGTAAGGAAGAATATTTAGAACGTTTCGATCACTTGTGACAGGAACGTCGTATCTGTCCTAAAAATAATCTTTCTTATTGTAAAAAACTGTAATTCGCGATAAAATGAAACTTATATGATAAATAAGTAAACTTAAAACGAAACTATTAACCACAACGTTTTTTTTTAAAGATCCCAGACAGTTATAAGAATTTTCAAAATTTTTTAATTGTTATCCGTATGCACAACAATACAGACACATCGTGACATTCATCAGAATATAATGACAACAGCTACAGTAAGGCACTTATTCATATTGGTTGGAAGCATATATTCAAATATACACAAAGATATTCCAATTTAGGAGGTCATATGATCTTTTGTCCAATAGAACACTGAATGAGCACACGAAGACAGTATATCTTAAGTGCAACATAAATTAAGAATGTGACAAAACCTGTTGGTTATGAGAAAATCTTTTGACGTGAAATATGAATTACACTTGTGTGTTTTTTTTTAAATCATTAGAGCATAATATAAAAAGATTTAAGACATATCACTGACAAAGGCGTAAACCCACACCTCAAATATTTCTCTCTCTTTTTCCAGAATAGTTATGTCGTTGCCATTTTGATTATTATGGTCTATACACTCAAAACACTTTAATTTGATGTACTTTGGTTTCCGTTTCTTTTTCTGTGAATTAGGGCTTACGTAACGTAAATATAATGCACTTAGGTTTCTGTATCTTATTCTGAGAAAAAGGGAACACGTAAAACAAGATATGAAACTCTTAGGTTTCTGTATCTTATTCTGAGAAATAAGGCATACCTAAAGTAAATACAATTCACTTAGGTTTCTTGTTTCAGGGCCTGAGAAATAGCTTATATCTAACTTTAATATTTAAAGTAGACTGGTTTTCTCGTTCTGAGGAATTGAGCATATTCTTATGCCCCCAAAATTACAATACTACACAAAATGTCATAGGTTTCTTTAAAAAAAAACTGCCTGTTGTTCAAAGAAAACTTGATTTGGTTTAATGCAGCTTATGTAAAATTTTATAAGTCAAAATTCCAAGTAATTACAGTGATGTAAGCAACGATGAAAAGATAACATCATTCACACGTTTTGTCATTAAGAAGTAAACCAATATAGAACTATTGACACGTTTTGACGTTAAGAAGTGAACCAATATAAAACTATTGACACGTTTTGACGTTAAGAAGCGAACCAACATAGAACTATTGACACGTTTTGACGTTAAGAAGTGAACCAATATAGAACTATTGACACGTTTTGACGTTAAGAAGTGAACCAACATAGAACTATTGACACGTTTTAACGTTAAGAAGTGAACCAATATAAAACTATTGACACGTTTTGACGTTAAGAAGCGAACCAACATATAACTATTGACACGTTTTGTCATTAAGAAGTAAACCAATATAGAACTACTGACACGTTTTGACGTTAAGAAGTGAACCAATATAAAACTATTGACACGTTTTGACGCTAGGAAGCGAACCAACATAGAACTATTGTCACGTTTTGACGCTAGGAAGCGAACCAACATAGAACTATTGTCACGTTTTGACGCTAGGAAGCGAACCAACATAGAACTATTGACACGTTTTGACGCTAGGAAGCGAACCAACATAGAACTATTGACACGTTTTGATGCTAGGAAGCGAACCAACATAGAACTATTGACACGTTTTGACGCTAGGAAGCGAATCAACATAGAACTATTGACACGTTTTGATGTTAAGAAGCGAACCAATATATAACTATTGACACGTTTTGACGTTAAGAAGCGAACCAATATAGAACCATTGACACGTTTTGAGGTTAAGAAGTGAACCAATAAAGAACTATTGACACGTTTTGACGTTAAGAAGTGAACCAATAAAGAACTATTGACACGTTTTGACGTTAAGAAATGAACCAATGAAAATAGATTCCACGTCTATTTTTCTAAGACTTAATTTTAGAAATGTTATTAAATGTATATTAAGAACCAGCTGTCGACCACTGAAAAAAATGGCTTAAAAGAAACATTTTTATTGTAAAGATGTTCAAGACACTAATTATCTCAAAATAACTTTTGACCTTTTTATTTCACAGGAACTTGAAAAGAGAATTAATTTTACTCATTAAAGAAATTTCATTTCACCTTCTTCTTCAGACGATAACTTTTTCAGAAAAATACTAGTTTTTTCAAAATGTCACCGAATTTTAAAACATTTTTAATGAAATTAAGTCTTTGCCGTTTTTCTGTCTTTTTTGTGTGTGCTTTCCCGTCTGAAAAAAAGAACACTTAGCTATTATCACCATACTTTTGCTGTATAGTGAACGGCGTTTATACATATGGTAATGTTAGATATCTTCAATAGATGGCGCTAGTTATTACACCTTACATTATAAGCATTTAAAACGGAGGCTGTATCCTTTCTTCTGTTTTCTGACCATCACAGACGATAACTAGCAGTCACCTTGAATTAGATCAGTACTGATGAAGGCCTCTAAATACCTGAAGCTCCATACTGTTGGAGAGTTATACTTCAATCTGTTCCGGTTATTAAATCGCTTTGTTGTTATGAAAAGCTGCTCAACCTGAAAACGAATTTATTTTGTGTAAAATTGGAACTAGGAAATGAATAACATCCCCCACCAAAAACAAAACGCAATAACAGTCGTTTCATTTGTGATAATAATAATAATGATAAAACAAGATTGGCAATTTAATTAATTTTTTGAAATTTATGGTTTCAATTTGCTTAAGTTTGGCCAAGATAATTCCCGGCTTTTTATTTTTGTTTTATAGATATGTATTTAGAGAGTTTTGCAGGATATTTAGAAAGTTAGGTATTTTCGACCGCTAGATGACACTCGTAATGCACAGTAAGAAAATGATGTAATTCACACTGTTAGGTCGTTATCTTGAATTGTGATGCTGAAAACAATTTAGGTTTTGTTTTTCAGAAAGCTTACAAAAGGACTTTGGAAGAAACATGTTGATGTTATTGTTTAAATCTATAATGTACTTTTAGTCAAGAATAAAACCCTAGGGGTTCGGTAGTAGAATATTTAGCAGATATTCTAAAAACAAAAATTCTTACTCTTCTCCAAAGAAACTGGTATTTTTTTTTACTTGGTTCTTAAAAATGATTCGAACCAGGCCTAACAGAAATATAAAAAAAAAGTCTCATTCGCGCGCGTTGTTGGAAGTAAATCAAAATTTAGTGTTTAAGTAAATAATAGTTTTCCTGTTGGATTTCTTTCAACAAAGTTTATAGTCTGCGTCAAAAGACGTAAGTGGCTTGCGCTCTCGTGAAAGGTTAATCAAACCGAATTTAAAATTATTAGAAATATCTAATTGAACAACAACTAAGAATGACGATAAACGGAAGAACTACACTAGTACCATAAGTATCAACATAAACCTAAAAAAAAACACAAATAAATGTAAAATTCATATAAGTGGAACATGAAATACTGAGAAAATTACTAAATCTAACAAAATCATAATTGTTTATATTCATTTACTTATTATTTTTAAATAACAAGTAAAGAGAGCCATAATACGAAGTTTTATTAATTTAACTTAAAGATTCTATTATAGCAATTCTTAGTGTTTTTTCAAGGCAAAACCCTTTTTTTTATATATATAAAATCAACTAAAGTTTATAGAATACATAATTTTATCTGGTCTATGAAATATGATTTTGTTTTTAAATTTAACTGTTAATATATATATATATATATAATTCAATGATTCGGAGAAATTACCGTATTTGGATTTTTTTAAAACTCAAAGTACGTTAATTAAAACAAACATAAACACTAGAATACCATTGGAGTACACAGTTTATTGAGAAACATTAGTGTTTTCACTGTACATGCAATATCTTAGAGTTGTATCATTACAACACCCAAATACTTCACAAAATTTAGTGACCGAGCATAACACTAACAAAAACACTGCAGGATTACATACATGACGTCACTCCATTGAATATTGACTTCAACACAAAACTCACAACATTGCTATCCAATTTCGAAAACAAATTTGACACATAGATATTAACGGAGCCTTATACATATCTGTACAAGTTGTGGTTTGGGATATGCCGAGAAAGATACAGTGTTATTCTGTCGAATCTGTATTGATTTGATGTTATTTATAATAGAACAAATAAAAAAAACGCAAACATGCTTATTAGGAAACATTTATCTGGTTAGTTGCGTATGATATAAAAAACCTAATTATCAGAAAAGTGGTTTAAACGACTATACGGACATTTCCCTCCCCACATTTTTTTCGAGATGTCAGTAGACTCGGGATCACGAATAATAAAGAAGCTCGCCTAAAATAGTGGAGTGAATTATTATCTTGTAAACACGAGAGAAAAATCTCGGAAGTGGATGTCCTTAATACGTGGTTCGTAAGTAAGGCATGACATTATCTGGAGTTTTATATGAAAACGATGTTCAAATCATTCACAAAACTCAGTTAAATTAATTTGGCCATTATATGACACCGACTTGATCGAACACTGAAGATTCTTTTTTTAATTAAATCATTTTGATCTTACATTCAATGTCATATAAACCAATGACTTTAGTCCAACATGATTAAATTAAATTTAAATAGATAAAACATTTATTATCACCGTGTTGTTGTCACCAGATAGAAGAAGCTCGAGCGACACCTCTTTTGTATAACATTAGGGGAACGTTGATTTATATTAAACTGATTTAAATAAAATTTTATGACTTTTTTTTTAATCTATGTTAATATGAATTAATGTGAATTTATGAAATGTAGTACATTTTAGCTTAGTTACAGACGAAATGAAAAAAAAAAGAGTAATTTATTTCGTTAGTTATTTAAAGAGAGTTCAATTCTCTACACCTTGGCGCATAGTTTGGGGTCACTTCATCCATTTCCGAGTTCTTTTCCTTTCCGTATAAAAACAAAACCTCGTTCATCAGAAACAGTTTCTCGTGCTTTATATGTAAATGAATAAATACAAGTTATATTCCAGTGCTCAAATGTTGTTTTATTTACTATAACGTGCTGATTCTAACGTAAAGTTTAAGAGAAAGCAGTAATCTTGAGCTAAAACGAAAACATTTTCAAAAGCAACAAATTAAAGAAAAACAGAATGTCCAGCACAAAACTAAAAGCTACTTGGATGGGTTGTATAAATATTTGGTGACTATATACATTTCTCAGAATGACGAGTCTTACAAACTACGACGTTCTAACAACAATAATACTTAAAAGAATTCCGAAATTGTATGAAGTTAAGCACAATGGGCTATCTGTGTTCTGCCCACCACGGGTATCGAAATCCGGTTTCTAGCGTTGTAAGTCCGCAGACATACCGCTGTGCCACTGGGGGACACCGAAATTGTATGATGGTGGTGATTTTTACGAATAAAATATACTTCTGTGGTCAGTTGATTATTTATTGTTAAGTGCAAAGCTACACAACGAGCCATCTGTGATATGTGTACACTGCAGGGAATCGAATCCCGGGTTTTAGCATTATAAGCCCTTAAGCTTAACGCTTAGTCAGCAAGGGACTTGTAGTTAGTGGCAGGAAGTACGTTTATTAGTCAACTGTTATTAATCACAGTTTGAGCTGGAGATTTATTCCCATGTTTTTTACACCAACAGCTTGATTTTCCTAAGAAATAGTTCACGTGTTTATTCTGACACTCATTTTCCAAGTTGATGAGTGATTATTCCGCGGCATAATATAGTCATGTTAGGAGGCTCATTTAAAACGTTATGATTTCTCCGCGGCATAACATAGTCATGTTAGGAGGCTCTTTTAAAACGCTATGATTATTCCGCGGCATAACATAGTCATGTTAGGCGGCTCATTTAAAACGTCATGATTATTCCGCGGCATAACATAGTCATGTTAGGAGGCTCTTTTAAAACGCTATGATTATTCCGCGACATAACATAGTCATGTTAGGAGGCTCTTTTAAAACGCTATGATTTCTCCGCGGCATAACATAGTCATGTTAGGAGGCTCATCTAAAACGTTGTGATTATTCCGCGGCATAATATAGTCATGTTAGGAGGTTCATTTAAAACGTTAGTATTAAATAAAACAGTAACAGGTGGGAAGAAGCTATATTTTGTCTGATGGAAAAGAAACATCTCACACTGTAGAAAATGGGCATAACAACAAAAATACTGATATATATATAATTTTTTTCCTAAACAAGTAATGAATGACCTACGACCCCAAAGACGCAATTTTTTACCGCCATGTCTATCATATTGATAATAATTTGTACTGTATATATATACATAACAAATAATGTTAACTGAAATACTGCTAATTAAATGGTCTATGTTTTTTCCCGACCCTGTATTATTTGATTGTGCTTTTTAGTCTAATTTATTTATTTCTATTATGTGTTTATGAGTGAAGGAAAGGAATACGAGTGTTTCAAAACCAAAGAAAAACATTGTGTTTAATCAAAATCACGATACTGGTGTTCTAAGGCATTTCTAACAATATTAACCATGCCGTTAAGAAAGAGAATTTCTTTGTTTGTAAATAAGCACAAAGCTAGACAATGGGCTATCTGTGCTCTGCTCACCACGGGTATCGAAACCAGGATTTTAGCGTTGTAAGTTCGCAGACATACCGCTGTGCCACTGGGGGGCAAGACAGAGAGAGTGGTCAGAATTTGATAAAAGCAGAAATACGCGGAGTTTTTGTGTCAAATTGCATGTAAGTTCGCAGACATACCGCTGTGCCACTGGGGGGCAAGACAGAGAGAGTGGTCAGAATTTGATAAAAGCAGAAATACGCGGAGTTTTTTGTGTCAAATTACATGTAAGTTCGCAGACATACCGCTGTGCCACTGGGGGGCAAGACAGAGAGAGTGGTCAGAATTTGATAAAAGCAGAAATACGCGGAGTTTTTTGTGTCAAATTACATGTAAGTTCGCAGACATACCGCTGTGCCACTGGGGGGCAAGACAGAGAGAGTGGTCAGAATCTGATAAAAGCAGAAATACGCGGAGTTTTTTGTGTCAAATTACAAAACTCTCTTGATATTATCGTGTTGTAAAACTACGTAGAGAGGTCAGATAAAAGTCAGAGCAAACTTATTCTTCAAAGGAACACGCAAAACTTAAGTTTCTGCTAAGTTTAAAACTCTTAAAATTTTTTCAACTCTATCTTAGGGTCAACCGTTGTGCTGTTGACCCGATGAGAGCCATAAAACACAGTCTAAAACTTGTCAGTGGTTTTAAACTTAGACGAGAAACGAGTTGTGTGTGTGTGTGTCACTTGGGAATTTATACCCACGCTTTTCAATAAAACATTTCAAGATTAATCTTAAAGCGAACAAACAGAAAATTGATTTAATTATACGTGTTTGTTTCTCGTTGGTATGATTCCTTTATACCCCGCCGGTATAGAACTCTGCTGTGAAGGGGGGTAAAGGTTAATGAGTGTGGGTTAATAAATATGAAAAAAAGAAGTAAACGTCACGTGAAAAAGCTGACCAGTCCCAGTCTTGAGTTTTTATCTTTGTACCCTTTTTTTATGGAATTGTTTTCACGTTCGCCACACTCTTCCATGATGTTTGTTATTTGGGCTAATTACATGGTTTGTTATTTGGGCTAATTCCACAGTTTGTCATTTGGGCTAATTACATGGTTTGTTATTTGAGCTAATTACATGGTTTGTTATTTGGGCTAGTTACATGGTTTGCTATTTGGGCTAATTCCATGGTTTGTTATTTTGGCTAATTCCACGGTTTGTTATTTGGCCATGTAATTAGCCCAAATAACAAACCATGTAATTAGCTTTGCTATTTGAGCTAAATTAGCCTTTAACACCTCCACTGCATAATAATACATTTTACCTCTGATTGGTCAGCTTCTACAACAAACACTTTATGCTCACGTGACGTGCACTTCTATAAACTTTTACTCTTTTTTTATTTTTTTTAATCCTTAAGAAGACCAGACAACTATTCGAAAGAGCTCGAGCTTCTGGGCCTTTTTAAATTTACTTGTTTCACATTATTACTATTCCAAGATGCTCCATCACCACGACAACTACTTAATGGTTTAAAAACTGCCCCTTTTCAACTTCAAATCATGCTTTGAAAACGTGCAAATATACATCAACTCATGCAATGCAGGGTAGTAACTTCATGCATCAGGCCACGAGGATGTACAAACCACGCTAGTGCTTAACCTTTCAAGCCTTATTTTAACACATTAGCAACAATAACAAGCTTTAATAAGCAGCAACAATTCTACTGACATCTCGTGTAAATTAACACACTTAGTCACCTGTTAGTAGAACCAGAAGGCACGTGAGGGATCTGGACGCGACAATTTGCCTTACTTCCTAGGCTCGATCTTCCAAATGATTAGGGGTTTGATCCCTTATTTTCTTACTATCCATTTCCCAGCAGTGATGTAAGTGATGTAACTGACCTTTATAAAAAACAGCAAAACTCATGAACCTATATTAATAACCAAAATTATCACTGGTTCGGGAATTACCATAATCGAAATACAACAAACCATAGGATGATAATAACAAAACAATAGGCTTATTTATTATCACTTTTCTTCTAACACATTTATATTTAGTCCTTTCCATACAAATCAAAACTGTTTAATATGTAAGGCGGTGCATAACCTCACAAAATTTGGCAGGAAATGACGTTTGATGGATCTGTTTTTGTTTTGTTTCAGTTTTCAAAGATGGCGTCTTTCTTTATGCTTAGAGATATACAGTCATCAACATTAATATAAAACTCAACATCGTTAAGCTCAATTGGCTAGCCTTTCTGTGCCATCCGTGGGGATCGAACCTCTCATTATATTACAGATGGGTGGCATACCAAAGTACAGAAACACCCCCCCCCCCCCCGTATCCGAACTGCATAGGTCGTGAAACTTGGCGTTCTTGATAGGTGATAATAACTTCACGTTTCACTGCACGATATTGTTTCTGGAAAACCGGGTGAATTGTTTGGTTCAGTGAGCAACTGAAAGAAATCTAACTTTACGCACGTTTTATATTCAATCAGAATCAGCATCTTCAATATGACATTTGTAATTATTAAAATCCCACTTCAACGTTTATATAATTCACGTATATTACTGTCAATTTTTAGGAAAAGTCCCCATAACCAATAAATACGACGCTAAATGTCACACAAAAAAAACCACAAAAATGCTTTCTTTGTTAACGAACCTTTCTTACTTGGAGATAAATTATGAATAACAAGAGTATTAATGAGCATTGGTAAGGCAATATGATAAAAAATAACAAGTATTTTATCTGATATGTTCACTAAATCCTTCGTAAATTGTGTTTCAGCACACAAAAATCTAATTATCACGGGTTTTGTTTAGAACAATAACATTTATGTTCGTAGCTTGTGTTGTTGTTGGTTATTAAGCACAAAGCTACAAAAAAGTGTATATGCGCTCTGCCCACCACGGGTATCGAAACCTGGTTTCTACCTCTTGCTTGTGAACCATGAAAATATAACAGTTCTGTGTTGATAAAGATACAATGTCATTTTTTTCAAGAATATATATCGTAATATAAAAAAAATCAAGAGTGTAAGAGTCAGTCGGTGATGACGTGCATATATATATACTAGATGAAATAATGACCAATTGACCAGTGTAACGTATCTCCTGTGATTTGACTTATACACATTGTATTTTTCTGTTTATTCATGGCGTCTGCTTTTATTGTTAGTTTCTTTATCACATGTTTTTCTTATAATAATGATATATTAAGGTCAGCCATGGTGTTGCCTTTTCGTTATACGTTGCGTTGATATTTCTGAAGCGGCCTCTTTATATGTATGTGTCTTGTCACACGCTCAAATTGTATTTCATTCGTAAACAAATCCTTTCTTCTTACATGTGTGTGTGTGTGTAAGAGACAGAGATGAAGTTTGAAACTGCTCTAAATCTTTTTATTTATTTATGTAAGACTAGCGTAATTCCAGGTTGATCACTAGTATATTTGACTCTGCAGGAATAGTTGTACAGGAGCGTCATTTGGGTAGAAGGAGGAGGCGACAGGGGCGACCAACTCCCGAGCTCGAAAGGGGACCACAAATGACAGTATATGTGAGATATTTCTAGTCAGGTCGGATAAACAGATATACACAAATTACACTACATTGCAAGGCCCTCAGCTGAAGTGGGGGCCCACGAGAGGACATCCTTTTTTAAACCCCCCTCCAATTGTACAATGATGCTCCTGGAGCCATCCTCATCATCAACTTATGCAATCTCTAGTAATATCCGTGTTTATATTTTTCTTTTGCAAATCAACTAGTAATTAAAGATTTTTTTTCTGTCAGTCTGTTTCGTACTTTTCAGACTTATGTTCCAATGAGTGTTCGGAGTTAGCCACGTCTAATTGCACGAGGATGATTCGATCCGAATTGTAGGCTTATTACGTTATTAACTTGAACGTGTAAAACTGTTTAAAATATATGGGTGTTTCATCAATTTATTCATTTCTTCATGACAACTTTATTTTGAGTAGAGTAGGAACACATTTTACTACTAGCACAAGTTTGGTTTGCCTGTGCTCTGCCAACCACGGGTTTCGAAACCCGATTTTTAGCGTTCTAAGCCTGCAGATTTACAGCTGAGCCAACTGGAGCACTATATATGTTAAGATCAAAATGTTCTTAGCAGTTAAGAAAAATTATAACGTAAAGAAAGATATGACGAGTGTGTTAAATATTACAAAAAAGTAAACTTTTAAAAGTAAACTTTAACTACAGAATTGATGGTAGAATTTGGAAGGTAAGAATGTGTGTTACATTATATAAGTTCAGAAATATTATAAACGTCAGTAGTGCATGATTTTACGCTTCTACTGAGATGAGAGGAGGCTGAAGGTTTATTAAGTAAATGAATACAAAATGTATTTTGTGTTCAAGTCTAAAATGAGACTTATAAATGAAATGATATAATCTAAGTCTGTAATTGTTGAATATAAAAATATTGTGGATATTTCTCAACTATAATTAAGAGTGTACCGTTCATTGAATGATAAAATTAAGCTCGTGAGGTCAATGGGAGAGACCTGGTGAGGTTAAAAATGGTGAGATAATGTTTTTTTTTGTTTACGGTAGCTTACAAACCAAAGTTCTAACAAAGTTTATTGTATTACTAAATTTTTAATTGTCTCTCGCATTGCATTAGTTTTCAAAATTACGATGAGGTGCTCTGGTTCAAGAATAAACTGATAACACGCGTGGAGTAAACTCTGTTGATCAACTCAGTCTCGACAATCCTTCAAATCTATACACAGATCAGCTCAATTTCAATAAAAGTTCAAAACCAATAAAAAAACCAGGTTTCAAACTTTCAGGTTTCGTACACAGTATTAAAAAAGTGAAATAACTTTCAAGAATGTGTATATATATATATAACATAGCACCTTAGCATGAAGTCTTGCTTAGAAAATGGATATCTCAAAACAGAATTGTTAATTATTTATTCCTAATACACCAGTAGATTAGAACAAACATAAGCGTTTGTTGTCAATTCCAAAGGGAATATTACGCTTTATAGGACTCTGTTTATTAACACGCTGAAGGTTTCGGTGCAGTACGACATTTCTGGTCGGTTAAACTTCATCCACGTACAAGGAAGAAGTCGGCAAAGTAGTTACAAGATCCTTGAAAAACTTTACAAGTTTTTATTTTCAAAATACGAAACGATACGTTGCTTCAGGGCACTATTTAGTTTCGAACCCTAGACAACCTAGTAACAACGAAGAGTAAAGACTGAATGTCAGGTGATTTACGTTGCTGGCATTGAGACCCCCCCCCAAAAAAAAAATAAAAAAAAAGATTAGATACTAGACACGTTGGTTCACTGAGTGTGAGCATAGCCAAGGTATTCCTATTGCTTCTAAAACTTCTAGATATTGCTAGAAAACGTTTCTTAAAGATGATGGTCTTGAGTCAGGAGTCCACCGGGAACACGGGAAAACGTGCCATCTGGGGAACGAAGCAACTTAATTAATAAAAATATACCAGTGAAGGGACGCTGGTAAAGGATAATAATTATGATCTATATATTAATGTTCTAACAATTTATCAGATTAGAGGATAGTCTGCTAAATGTTGTGTATTTCAAGATAAAGCTAGGCCTATTTAAATAATGAGACACTAAAAATAAGATCTTATTTCAGATGTTAAAAACTTCATTAATAGTTTCACTAACAGTTGCATCCATAATAATCCCTCTTTATAAAATAGTCTAAATCTTTCACTAAAGCATGCTAGTGTAATTTATGAATAACTTAATGGTTAAAGATAACTTACCGAAAATTGCCAGTTACGAAGGATAAAAAATAAACTCTTGATATTCTTATAACATTCACTAAAATATCCCTGCAGTTATTAGACTGTTAATTCGTATGTCACTTACTACAATAGTCCTGTGCTGATTGGACTGTTAGAAACGTTGTACATTTGCTGTCATGTTAAACTTGTATTAAAGTTTTTCTTCATTACCCATTTAAGCCGTCTCCAGCCATTATTAGTCTCAAAGTGGGTTCCTCGTCATCGAATTATTATATTGTTAGATTCGTACGTCACTTACTACAATAGTCCTATGCTGATTGGACTGTTAGATTCGTACGTCACTTACTACAATAGTCCTATGCTGATTGGACTGTTAGATTCGTACGTCACTTACTACAATAGTCCTATGCTGATTGGACTGTTAGATTCGTACGTCACTTACTAGAAGATGTCTCTGCTGATTGGACTGTTAGATTCGTACGTCACTTACTAGAAGATTTCTCTGCTGATTGGACTGTTAGATTCGTACGTCACTTACTAGAAGATCTCTCTGCTGATTGGACTGTTAGATTCGTACGTCACTTACTAGAAGATTTTTCTGCTGATTGGACTGTTAGATTCGTACGCCACTTACTAGAAGAGCCCTCTGCTGATTGGACTGTTAGATTGATACGTCATTTAGTGGAACATTCGTGCAATTATTATATTGTTAGATTCGTATGTCATTTGTTTGCTGTTAAGCACAAAGCTACAAAATGGGCTATCTTTGCTCTGCCCACGTGAGTATCAAAACCTGGTTTTGAGCGTCTTAAGTCTTCAGTTTTACTACTAAGCCACTGGGGGTCAAATAAACGCGGAAAGTTGTGTTTTTTGGTGTGTGTGTTGTTGTTTTTTGCGCAAACCTACACAATGGGCTATCTGCGCTCTGGCCACCGCGTGGAATCGAACCCCAGACTTTAGCATTGTAAATCAGAAAACTTATCACTGACCCATCAGAAGACTAGACAGTAAGAATGATGCCTTACCCCTGTCTGTACTCTAGGCGAGACTTATAGATTATTAACAGTTTGACTATTTTGTTGATAGAAGGTGATAAAAACCCTTCAGAAGAAAGGTCCACCTTCAGAAAGTGCTCGGGTTATAGAGTCTTTATCACCTTGTATCACTTCTTGAACCTACGTGTTTTCCTGACGTCATAAATAAACTATTTTGTTGATAGAAGGTGATAAAAACCCTTCAGAAGAAAGGTCCACCTTCAGAAAGTGCTCGGGTTATAGAGTCTTTATCACCTTGTATCACTTCTTGAACCTACGTGTTTTCCTGACGTCATAAATAAACTATTTTGTTGAAAATCTTTCTCGGATAAAAACCTAGGTCAGAATCACCTTGAGAAAGAAAACATACGTAGTTATTCATGGCTTTGATTATAATGCCTTTTTTATTTTAACGAACGATGATAAGAGCATTTTGTGTGTTATAGATGTTAAATTTTCACGCTTTTTGATTTTCCCAAAAACAGTGATTATTTCGCGATATTTAATGAGATATAAAATGGTTGTTTTGTATATTTAATTTTACATATTTACAACTGAACGTCTCTATGGAACACAATTGTTCTTGTGGCACATTAAGAATAATAAGTTTAATTCAAGAATGTTTGGATTGGACAGATTGATATTTTCAAAACCACATTTGTACTTAAGGCCACATACCACTAAACCATACTTTGAACTGCTGACACCAGAGGGAAAGCGGCAGTCATGAGCACCCACCGTCCACTCTAAGGAATTAGCTGTCACTCTTATAACGCACCCACAGTTTGAATTGTGGGAAGTATTTTGTGGTATCGTACGCCTTCTAATCCTGCTCCGATTTGCAGAGTTCTATTATATGGCTAAGTCACACCCTCAACACAATGTTATAATATATATAATTAAATATATTTTCTGTTTCGCACGCTAACATAGTTTTTATTTCTCTCTCTCTCTCTTTCAACAAAACGACAGAATATTATTAGGATCGATTAACACTGTCCAGAAGAGAGAGAGAATTCTTAAAGTAGCTTCATTTAGGGACAAGTTCGATATGCTGATCCAGAATGACGGAAAGCATTTTAAAGAACCTGTGTAACAGTTTTTATAACATCTTATTCTACATCTAAACTTCCCAGGATAAAACTTATCATTCTCTATACTCCCCTGGCGAAACTTAGTTCCCCCCTAAGACAAGTAGTTTTGAAGAATAATTATTTTGAATTCTAATAGGACAACCTCGAGATTTCCAACAAAATATATAATATAAAGATGATATCTAGAGTACATTCTTACATGACTCAATAGATTTCTCATCTGCAATAGGTCCTCCAGTTGGTACATATCGTCTGGCCACGTGAATGTTCATGCCATTAGCACTGATGATCTCGTCTCGCCTAAATAGGGCCGAGATCTCCTCAAAGGTCTTATTTTTTGTTTCAGGAACTTTCTTGTATGTGAAGGTCCAGAAAATGGCAAGAAGAGCGGTAAATGGAAGGAAAGTGTAGTCGTTGAGACCTTGCTGTAAATATAAATTATTTGTTTTGGTTGATGGAAAGATCGTTATGGGAAAAATACCAGATTTATATACCCGATCAGAAAGTTCATCTGCCTCATTTCCAAGTTATCTTGAAGTCGTAATGTATATCTCAATTGTTTAGTTTTGATCATCTAATATAAACTTTGAAGTAAAACACTCATATCACGAGAAATGTCTAAACACACGTTTAGTTTTGATCATCTAATATAAACTTTGAAGTGAAACAATCATATCACAAGAAATGTCTAAACACATGTTTAGTTTTGATCATCTAATATAAACTTTAAAGGAAAACAATCATATCACAAGAAATGTCTAAACACACGTTTAGTTTTGATCATCTAATATAACCTTTGAAGTGAAACAATCATATCACAAGAAATGTCTAAACACACGTTTAGTTTTGATCATCTAATATAATCTTTAAAGGAAAACAATCATATCACAAGAAATGTCTAAACACATGTTTAGTTTTGATCATCTAATATAAACTTTAAAGGAAAACAATCATATCACAAGAAATGTCTAAACATCGTTTAGTTTTGATCATCTAATATAAACTTTGAAGTGAAACAATCATATTACAAGAAATGTCTAAACACACGTTTAGTTTTGATCACCTAATATAACCTTTGAAGTAAAACAATCATATCACAAGAAATGTCTAAACACACGTTTAGTTTTGATCACCAAATGACACCTTTAAAGTTAAACAGTCACATCACAGTTTTTTTATGAACGCTTAACAATAGTCTAAATGACGTGTTTGAACTGATAGGCTAGAAGGAGAACAGCTACGTATTTAGTGTTTAAACTGATAGGCCAGAAGGAGAACAGCTACGTATTTAGTATTTGAACTGACAGGCTAGAAGGAGAACAGCTACGTATTTAGTGTTTGAACTGATAGGCTAGAAGGAGAACAGCTACGTATTTAGTGTTTGAACTGATAGGCTAGAAGGAGGACAGCTATGTATTTAGTGTTTGAACTAATAGGCCAGAAGGAGGGCAGCTAGTCAACAGCACTAATCGCCAACTCTTGGGCTACTGTTATCTGAATAGATAGTGGGACTTAATATCACTCTTATGGAGCACCTTCAACACCAAAGTACAGAGTGTGTTTTACCAGCAACAGGACGCGAAACATAAACTCTAATATTTATAGTCCAGACACACTAATCACTCGACCTCGTCCAGCTTTAAGTGACAAACGGTGACAATAGTGATGAAATTCTGATCTCTTTGAAGCTGCTATGTATACTGTTTAGGGTTAAAGAGACTTGACCACTTTGATATCCTAAAGTGAACACTATCCTGTACAAACATTCCTTGACTGTTTTGATGTCATAATGTGGACACTACCCTGTACAAAAGAGGTTTGACTGTTTTGATGTCATAATGTGGACACTACCCTGTACAAAAGATCCTTGACTGTTTTGATGTCATAATGCGGACACTACCCTGTACAAAAGAGGTTTGGCTACTTTGATATCCTAAAGTGGACACTATCCTGTACAAAATATCCTTGACTGTTTTGATGTCATAATGTGGCCACTACCCTGTACAAAAGATGTTTGACTGCTTTGATATTCTAAGGTGGACACTACCCTGAACAAAAGAAGCTTCACTGCTTTGATATCCTACTGTTGACATTACCCTGGTAAAAGAAGTTTGACTTCTTTGATATCATAATGTGGACACTACCCTGTACAAAAGAGGTTTGACTGTTTTGATGTCATAATGTGGACACTATCCTGTACAAAAGATCCTTGATATAATAATAATATGTTAAAGAGGCTTGACTGCTTTGATATCCTAACGTAGATAATACCCTGAACAATTATGCCAGAAATTAGTTTCTCTTTTATTGTAGAAAACGATTAATTTTGAGTATGAATCCATGACGTCCTACTAGTTCTGAATTTATGCACCAGAGGACTCCAGTAGCTCATTTTGTACCATAAGCACAACAGCAGCAAAAAAACAGAGGCACAGATTCGATAAAACAGTTACATGCCTGCATCATACGAAATATCAATCCAACTACAAAGTTGGCAAGCCAGTTAACTAAAACAGTTACATGCCTGCATCATAGGAAATATCAATCCAACTACAAAGTTGGCAAGCCAGTTAACTAAAACAGTTACATGCCTGCATCATAGGAAATATCAATCCAACTACAAAGTTGGCAAGCCAGTTAACTAAAACAGTTAAACTCATTGATGCTGGCCTCGGACCCTGGGAAAACAGCTCCGCTGTGATCATCCATGGTATGGACCCTAAAAGACAGTAAAAAAACCTACAGTGAGGTGGTACCCTTTATAATATAATGCACCACAGTTAGCTGGTATCCTTTACAATATATCACACCACAGTAAGCTAGTACCTTTTATAATATAACACAGCACAGTTAGCTGGTACCCTTTACAATATATCACACCACAGTAAGCTAGTACCCTTTATAATATAACACACCACAGTTAGCTGGTACCCTTTATAATATAACGCACCACAGTTAGCTGGTATCCTTTACAATATATCACACCACAGTAAGCTAGTACCCTTTATAATATAACACACCACAGTTAGCTGGTACCCTTTACAATATAACACACCACAGTGAGGAGGCACACTTTACAATATAACACCACAGTGAAGCGGTACCCTTTACAGTATAACACACTACAGTTAGCTAGTACCCTTTACAATATAACACTACAGTTAGCCAGTACCCTTTACAATATATCACACCACAGTAAGCTGGTACCAGTTACAATATAACACCACAGTTAGCTGGTACCCTTTACAATATAACACACCACAGTCAGCTGGTACCAGTTACAATATACTACTAAAAAGGTAACATAAGGTTCTGTTACGTGAGAATTAATATACGTTTAGATTAGGTATACATGTCATGGACTCGGTCGTCTCTCGAGAACCTTTAATGAATTACCTGGAAATTCATTACTTCTTTGTCAAATGTCGTTAATATTTCCTGTATTCAAAGCATTATATATTCGAGGATACTGCTTCGAAAAAAAAACATATTTTTACAACTTAAAATGTGTATGTTTTCAAATTTGTATATTAGTATCGAATCAAAAGTCTTATCCACACAAAATACAAATAGAGCAATGGAAATATAATTTTGATGTATTATTATTATTTTTCTAAATGTTACGTTTAATTTTTTGTTGTAGTTTAATGTTCTAGTCAGTGTGTAACAAAAGGTACTGGTGATTATCTTATTTAAACCAATTTTTGAAATGATTTATTTGAAGTCAAACAGAAAATGATATATATATATAGTATTGGTAGAGCTATAACTTACATAGTAAGTTGCTATATTAGCTATGAAATTTCGTAATAAGTGCTAAAGGAGCTCTGACTTTCACATTATTGTGCTACAGTAGTATAACCTTCCAATAAGAAGTATCAAAGGAGCTACAAGGTTTCATAATACAGTAATACAAGTGTTATAACGTTCCATAATACAGTAAATACAGGATCTATAATACTTCACAATACATTTATTTCCTTCTGATAACAATGCATTGGTTTAATTAAAGCAGAGTTTCTATATCTATTGGAAATACAATTTTAGGCCTGTGTTCCATAGGAAAGTTGAGATACTTGCAGGAATGCATTTATATTATAGAGTTAATAATTAATATAAAGAAATAGAATGGCTAGACGATTTACGGTAAATCCAGTAATTCTAAATAGCTATGTAAATAAGAGTTTCTCACCTGGACCAATTGCAAAGAAGACAACATAACCAAGTGTACTGACAACGCTGAGATACGTCACCCAGTGGTATAAAAACTGCAAAAAAAAATATATATATATAAAAAAAGGTTATAAAAAGAATTACAAACACTTATATTTTTCTTCCTAAAACCCACTAACACAAGTATGATAAAATATTCTTACATTTTATAGACAAATATAGTAATTATATAGAAAGTTTTAATGCTACAAAAAGTATTGAAACAAGAAAGTCAATGCTACAACAGCTAAAAAAATTATCTGTACTTTGGCAACTCACTGTAATTATATTAGTCTGAGCCAAAGTAGGGATAATTAAAAATATTTTTAAGTAACTCAGTTTTTGTAGTTGTTTTAATGCTGTTTACTATTGTTTTAATACTGAGTTTACTACTGTTATAATACTGAGTTTACTATTGTTATAATACTGAGTTTACTATTGTTATAATACTGTGTTTACTATTGTTATAATACTATGTTTACTACTGTTACAATACTGTGTTTACTATTGTTATAATACTGAGTTTACTGTTGTTATAATACTAAGTTTACTATTGTTATAATACTGAGTTTACTATTGTTATAATACTGAGTTTACTATTGTTATAATACTAAGTTTACTATTGTTATAATACTGAGTTTACTATTGTTATAATACTAAGTTTACTATTGTTATAATACTAAGTTTACTATTGTTATAATACTGAGTATAGTATTGTTATAGCTACTTTGCTATACTATGTTTAGTGTAATAGTAGTATACCTTTACAAGTAAGGAAATGGTGATGAAGATACTGAAGATGAACATGCCACCTAGTCCATATAAATGTAGAGTTCGTCTTCCTGACCGGTCCATGAGTGGTATAGAAACGAGTGTCATTATGACCATCACGGACCCCACACCAATAGTGGAATATCTGGATGCTTCTTCTGAGAGTCCTGCTGACATGAAAAGGCCCGTGGAATAATAGAAAACCTAAGAAAACGTTTCCATTAGCCAGAGAAGGAACTTAAGTTTCATGCACATGTTACTTTGATGTTTACCTATCAACTAATTTTACATTCATGAACTGAACTGATGGAAGTAAGAACTGAATTAAAACAAGGAAGAACTAGTCTCAGTCCAAGGTTACATAACCTAAAAATACATTATAATATTTATCAACATTATATAACTTTTAAGATATTATAATTTCCAAGCTTAGAATCAATCAACATGCGTAACGATTTCTGCGCATCGAGAACAACAATGTGTGAAATAAAGTGTCTTGATTACGTAACTTCTACGGCCGAGTGGGAGGAGCAGTGGTTCTCAAAGTGTGGTTCGCGGGCTGGTTCGAGTCACTGACGCGCAAAGCCACGGCCGAGGCCATACGAGAGTCCGGAACACGTGGGATAGGACCAGTAGGTGGTTCGCGCGGTCTTTTGCCCTAACGAAAAAATTTGAGAACCGTTGATATAGAACTTATAGGTAATATTTATTTAGCAAATTTTTACTTACAGCGTTTATTCCTGATAGTTGCTGAGAAAGATGCATGACAATACCGATGATTAGCGGTAGTTGGAGTGTCTTGTTCTGCACTAATTCCATCATCGTGATCTACAGAGAAAAGAGATTTAATAAATAACATCTTTATATAGTTAGCGGTAGTTGGAGTGTTTTATTCTACGCTAATTCCATCATTGTGATCTACATAGATTTAATAAATAACATATTTATATAGTTAGCGGTAGTTGGAGTGTTTTATTCTACGCTAATTCCATCATTGTGATCTACAGAGATTTAATAAATAACATCTTTATATAGTTAGCGGTAGTTGGAGTGTTTTATTCTACACTAATTACATCATCGTGATCTACAGAGAAAGAGAGTTAATAAATAAAATCTTTATATAGTTAGCGGTAGTTGGAGTGTTTTATTCTACGCTAATTCCTTCATTGTGATCTACATAGATTTAATAAATAACATCTTTATATAGTTAGCGGTAGTTGGAGTGTCTTGTTCTGCACTAATTCCATCATCGTGACCTACAGAGAAAGAGATTTAATAAATAACATCTTTATATAGTTAGCGGTAGTTGGAGTGTTTTATTCTACACCAATTCCATCATCGTGATCTACAGAGATTTAATAAATAATATCTTTATATAGTTAGCGGTAGCTGGAGTGTTTTATTCTACCCCAATTCCATCATCGTGATCTACAGAGATTTAATAAATAATATCTTTATATAGTTAGCGGTAGCTGGAGTGTTTTATTCTACACCAATTCCATCATTGTAATCTTCGGAGAAAGAGATTTTCTAAATAATATCTTTGTGTAGTTAAGGTTAGTTTATTTTTTATTTTTCAATTAGCAAAAATTATAAGAGTCGAAAACACTTTATACAATTACTTGACACACTCGAACAATTAGAGTTGCAGTGCTCTGAAGATTTGTAAAACCAATATACTGTTTTGTAAGTTTACAAACCAATTAAAAGATCCGTTTTCTTTGACACCAGTTTGTATTTAAACCTATTAGCAATGTTTAAGATAAAACATCAAGTCCAGTTTTATATGCTCTCAAGTTATTTAGTTTACAGTAGAACATTTTCTCTCCAGAGTTCACAGGAATGTTTGTTGGATGTAAAAATATAACCCATTCACACCAATAAACACGTTTTTTCACGGTTACGTTAATGACGGAGAATGTCACCAAGTAAAATTTCTTCATAAAATGTTTTGAAAGTGAAACCAAACTTACCCTAACTTCATGCTGATTAGCTCTTTCTTCTGCTTTCATTTCGTCTATATCTTCTTCAACATTACTCGAATATCGTAAACGCTTTAAACCTGTCGTAATTTGGACAAAATTTTTAATTGTGAAATAACGACGCACGGTAATATTAATAATTTCCTACATTCAGAAGATAATCCATTTTAAACTCCGTGCTACTTTTACCAGTCAGATTAATATTATTAAATGTTAACAATAATGTCATAACTAAAGAGCATTAATAAAGAAAATAGAAAGTAAACATCAACGTTTCAATTACTCATTTTATCGTTAAAATAAAATATCTAATACTATAAAATACAGTGTGCATCTGCCTGTTTCTCGGTCACGCAATGATGTCATAGCAACTTATTACGTAATTTTAGTAGTTTGGCTTCCTCTCAATTAGAAGCTAGTAGTCTACGATCGAAGGAAAACTAAAGTTATACTTAGACTAACGTGTACAAAAAGTTGCACCTTTTTCGCAATTTGAAAACATATCTTTGTTAACTCGTCGAGTTACGCCAGAAAGAACCTAAATATAGACATTTTGTACAACATATTAACAGCTTATCAAAGTTTTTATAAAGGTCCGGCGTTAGGTCGTAGAATAATATTAGAAGATTATTTATTGATAGTATTAAGTACGGTTAGGTTTAGCCGTAACTGAACTAAAGCATAAAATGTACACAAGTTACAGTTAATTTATCTCTTTATCGAATATAGGCCTTACTTGATAAAGGCTTAACTAATGTTAGGCCTAAGACAAGTGGACTTTTAGATTTCGGTGTCTGCGATTAGAATTATTTTGTATTATTCTAGAAACCATGTATTTAAAGAAGTACTGTTGATATAAATATACTAGTTTGGTCGCAAATGTTTTGCGGGTCTCTGCTAGTGAATAATAAAACAAAATTCATACTTTCTCTAGCAAGAGATTCTTCTTGTTTATAAATGAGCAAGTATCGAGGACTTTCAGGACAAAGTGGCAGCAAACACAGCTGTAGAATGGCCGGAATGATTGCTATCGCTGTAAAAAATGTTAAATTATAGTTTAATACGTACACATATAAAAACTTTAGGGAACATATTAGTTTGTTCAGAAAAATAAACATAAGGTAGTTTTGGGATTATTGATTTGAAGTATTAGAAATTACTTGAACGAAAAAATCAAAATTAACTTTGATATATTTTATCAGCTTGAAAACAATATTAAAATAATGAGGTACAACTGTATAACTAGGATAATAACCTGAAGAGAATGAGGTACAATTCTACAACTGAAATAATAACCTGAAGATTACGAGGTACAATTCTACGACTGAAATAATAACCTGAAGATAATGAGGTACACTTCTACAATTGAAATAATAACCTGAAAATAATGAGGTACAGTTCTACAACTGAGATAATAACCTGAAGATAATGAGGTACAGTTCTACAACTGAAATAATAACCTGAAGATAATGAGGTACAGTTCTACAACTGAAATAATAACCTGAAGATAATGAGATAGAGTTCTACAACTGAAATAATAACCTGAAGATAATGTGGTACAATACTACAACTGAAATAATAACCTGAAGATAATGAGGTACAGTTCTACAACTGAAATAATAACCTGAAGATAATGAGGTACAGTTCTACAGTTGAAATAATAACCTGAAGATAATGAGGTACACTTCTACAACTCAAGATAATGAGGTACAGTTCTACAACTGAAATAATAACCTGAAGATAATGAGATAGAGTTCTACAACTGAAATAATAACCTGAAGATAATGAGGTACAGTCTACAACTGAAATAATAACCTAAAGATAATGAGGTACATTTCTACAACTGAAGATAATGAGGTACAGTTCTACAACTGAAATAATAACCTGAAGATAATGAGGTACAGTTCTACAACTGAAATAATAACCTAAAGATAATGAGGTACAGTTCTACAACTGAAATAATAACCTGAAGATAATGTGGTACAGTTCTACAACTGAAATAATAACCTGAAGATAATGAGGTACAACTGCACACTGAAATCACTAAATCACCCATAACTATTTGTCTTTCACCACATCATCAACAAATTCTTGATGCTCATTAATGCCACCATAAATATTATATTAATATTACAAAAGTTTTGCCTATTTATTTTAAGCATGAAAGGTCAAGGTCATTGAATTTTTTTAGAGGTGATTAAGTTCGGCGTATTAATACTGAAGACAAAATTTTCACCATCTGTTTCGCTTATTTCTTAACAATGACCTTCCGCCGATACTTCCATGTGATCAAGCTTCCACGGAGAATAACCACGTCAGGGTTTTCCCTCCTGCTCGTGCTGTGCAGACTTAAGGATATCAAAGAGACCAGAATCCATTGAAGCTACTACATCTTGATACTTAACAGGTTTATGGTAGAATAATGGAACTGCTGTGATTCTACTTTCTTCAGCCACCTATCTTACGTTTTCATCAACTCCAAATCCTCGTTTATTTTCTCGTTAATGATACCAAGAGATATTCCTAGATGTTTTTTTTGGGGTTGCAAGGTTCTCTTCAGATCAGACAGTTGCCCTTCTGGTTGATTTGGGGATGTGGATTTGGATCCCAATTGCTATTCTAAACGTTCTACTTTATGAATTTTTCTGTTTCCACAAAGAACTCTGAAAATTTCGTTCCTAGAAAATGTTTCATTTGATCTTACATCATTTAACGGTCTTGCTTTGTTAGTATTTTCTTCAGAAAAACTATCACCCCACCTCTCCTGCCACGGATCCAATATTGGAGTTATTAACAAGTGCAGTCAGTGTTATATATATATATATAAGCCAAAAGCCTTTCTATCACGTGATCGTAGTTCGAGAACCATTCCAACATTCACAAAGAAACGGAAGTTAAGTTACAAGGCTTACCACAAAGTGTAAATCGCTCTTTATAGTTAGTTTCAATAAATAATCTTACTGTTAAATAAAACGTTAAAATACTGTGAAAAACTCAACTGTCAAATAGAAACTCCCATTAACCATTTATCGGGAGAAACGACTGTATGCTCCATTTTTTAGACATTAATCTAAATAGTCCAGAACCAGCAGTCTAAAGAGTCCAGAACCAGTACAAAGACGAAAACTTATTTCTTGCTACAACATCAAAAATGGTCGTCAAAGTTGATCTGTTTTAACAAGGGTCAATTGTTAATTTCCTTGTAAACCTGGTCAGAAACTTGGATATTCCAGAGCAAACAATAATTAAAAAAACAACAACAACATCTGAATAAGGATAATAACAAACAAAAAACACAAGTGACCTTTACAAAATGTTTTAGCAAAGGAAACAATGGATGGGCTTGAATAGCATCTAAGTCATCATCCAAAACTACAATAACCTTTTTCTTGAAGAAACAGGAGGAGAAAACTTTCTTCTTTTCATTTCTAGTTTTCCTTTTTGAAAACTCTCTTTGCCCTTTTTTCTGTGGTAACTGTCTTTCAGTGGATATCCCATTATGGTCACATATATATCATCTACCCTAATTGTGCTTCAATCACATTTTCACTAAGTAATAGAAAGCATAAAATCGTGCTCTAATGTTTACCTAGTGTTCTACACTCGTTTTGTACCCTATACAACAGGCACAAAAAAGCAACTGATTTTTGTTAGAAAATGGAAGATATTGGTTTAAAAAAGGGGCAACAAATGTTGATTAGATCCCCATTAGACAAAAAAAAAAAAA